ACATACCATGACAACACAATTCCTATAAACTCGTGTGGCTGTAATACAATCACCAACCGGAGTCGATACAGAGAACGGCTCATTAAGTTGTTAGGGTTCTACACCAAAACTTGAAGAAATGAATGGGGTGACATAAGACAAAGAGGACCCCGGTTCAATAAGAGCATAACAATCAATAGCCTGAATAGACAAGATAGCTGTAGCAACATCTGGGGAGGCCTCTGCACTCTGGAGACCACTTAAGGCGTAAAACCGGCTGGGTACACCTCTACCACGAGCTCCACCCCTAACTACACTGTGCCCTGTTGGGGCTGGAGGACGCACGGATGATGTGGCAGCTGAAGAACCGGATGACTGAGCAAATCCCCTACCCATGCCCTGACTGGGCGCACGGAAATCCCGCTGGATATGACCTCTTACCCCGCATCTATAACACACCGGAATATCCAAATAACAAGTTTCGGAATGGAACCTCCCACACTTGGGGCATGAAGCCCTCCCCTGTTGCTGTGATATCCCTCCTGGACGACCGGAATGATGGGGTCTCCTACTGTCTGAACCTGATCTAAAGTGACTGTTCTACTGATAACTGTGCACAGATGGTGGTGCACTTGCTGAGGAATGGGCATATGACTAGGATGGCCCTGATGGCCCTCTCCCCGGAACTGGTCTCCCTGAGTGACCCGTTGATCGGGCCCTGCTGATACACTCCCTTTTTGCCCGTATTTTCAACTTCCTAGCCTCTGTGGCCTGAGCGAACCCCACAATCTTCCCATAATTCATATCTGAGTGTAAGGCCATTGTAGTAGCCTCATTCCCTGTACCAGCCTCATTTACCACCAAAGGACTAAGACCCTGAACGAATCACCAAACTCGAGCATCCATGGTCGACACTAACTGAGGAGCATACTTGGACAACCTCACAAACTCCATGTGGTACTACCAAACACTCATACTGCCCTACTTGAAGACCTCAAACTCTGTAGCACGGGCCGCCATTGTCTCGGCAGGCAAGAAGTGGTCCATGAATGCATCTACAAACTCATCCCATCTAGCCAGAGGTCTTCCCTCCCTACGGGAATCCTCCCACATCTCGAACCACGAATACGCTACTCCCCTCAACTTGTATGAAGCCAACTCAACCCCTTCCGTATCTGTAGCCTTCATCACTCGAAGGGTCTTATACATTTCATCAAGGAAATCATGCGGATCATCCTCTGGGTCTGTGCCCGTGAACTCTGGAGGGGCCAACCACAGAAACTGGTTGACTCTGGAGCTGGCGGAATCTCCCTGTCCGGTGGGGGGCGCAGGGGCATCATGAGATATCTGGGCCTGAGCGGCCACTAACTGGGTCAACATATGGATGGCTCCTCTAAGGTCCCCATCAGAAACCCCGGGACCGGAAGCTGGAATTGCATCAAGATCAGGAATATCAGTGGGAGGGATGGTAGCACCCTCTGCCGCAGCTGGAACAGGAGTACTTGGATCTGGGATAGATGGGCCAGGCAGATTCAAGACCGAGGAGTCACTCTCACCCACGACATCAGGTACATGATTCACAGCCACACCTAGGGTGGCATTGGCCCCGAGGCCGAGTCTAGCCCTCTTCTTAGGTGCCATTACTGAAAATTTGGAATAGAGCACGAGTTAGATGTAAATACTTCCACTTTTCACTTCACCGCACGATATAGACTAACAAAGAAGAAGGTAATTTCCTAAATGCCCATGTATCCTCCAACTTATAGATGTGGTCGACAACACACCGATAAGGAGGACTCTACTAGACACGGCTACGAGACATCCTAGGACACTTTAAAATCTTAGGCTCTAATACCAAGTTTGTCACGCCCCAAAAACCGAGGGACGCGACCGGCTCTCGACCGGGTAGCCCCCAGCCAAGCGGACCTGGGTGCCTTTCCTATTACACGTGATACCCTGCGTTTCCATTGCCCATTAACCAAGTGAAATAGCCATTTATAAATTTAAACACATTCGTCCCGGCAAAAGGGACGTCAGTACATTTGAATTGTACTAGTATGTATGAACAAACTTTACACCAAGTAAAATCAAGAAATACACAGATAGCAAACAGTAATAGAATCAACAATCAAATGCACATGAAAGGAACAACCAAAGCCAAACAAACTCCACAATCTATCCTTTTCCCCTTTCAACATTATTTCATCACATCAAAGATTTCACAACTTTCACATATTTTTATTTCAATAGTGATTTCGATCACTTTTCTACCCTTATTACCTCGGCCACCCTTATTACCTCGGCCACCGTTACCACCACAACCCACACATTATAACTTCGTGTTGCGGCACGCAACCCGATCCTACCGGACAATTACATTTCACACAACAACAGTAGTTCACAGTTCAATCACATGGTTTCAGGCCATGCAGAATATCATTTCACAACAACAACAATTCACAAGAATTTTCATAAACATCAATACCAATTCCATCATATACAATAACCTGTATACAATTCAAGTCATAACGATAATTGCCAACAAGTCACAGATGATATTACCACCGTTGTTTCAATTGCATCAATTACGATTTCTTTCTATCATTTGTTACACAGCTCTTACCACATAACCATATTCACACACACACACTTGGTTTGTTGCCATTTATTTACGCCACTATACACATTCTCACGTTTGGACACATTAAGATTCTTTCATCCGTTAACACATACTTCCATTTCGACATCCTCAAGCATTTACAAACTTTGCACATAATAAGATAGGCACATCAAATCACTTCTCACAATCACATATAACTTGGTGGTATGGAAATAAACTAAGTCAATCAATACACATATTTTCATAAAAGGTACACATACCGTATGCTCGTCATAACAAGGGGATTCTACAAGAGTTAAAGTTAGCCATACATACATGGAGTCGAATTCCTTTTTTAACTTCTACTTTCAATTCACCAACAGCCTAGTACCGTCATTCTAGTTCACAGGTTACCACATATAACTTAGAATTGAAGTTCACAAACTCAGCCCGAACTTACTTAGGTTTCCAACCCCTCTTTTGCAAATCTTTAGTTCTACCCAATTCCTCTTACTAGATTCTTGGTTTTAAAGGACATGCATGTGTATCTCAACTTCCATTTTCAAGAATTAACGCATGAGAATCCCCCTTTTTGTTTAAATCTGAAAACAATGAAAAAGGGTTGGGGATTTTACCTGCAAGAACGGAGATGATGACAATTACTTGAAATTTCCCGTCCTGGATGTCTTTGAAAAATCAAATTGATGGAGATAAGACTTTCTCTCTCAAGAATTCTCACTTCCCTCTCTCTAGTTTTGTTCATAAAATAGGTTAAAATGAGGGGTTGGGGTGTTTTATTGAAGAAGTGGTCGGGTTTAAAATTTAGAAAAATAGGAGCTCGAGTTAGGTATACGATCGCAGAGTGCAAATGCGGTCCGCAGAATGGACCGCAAAAGTGCTCCCAAAATCTGAACACACTGCCTGGATATGCGGCAGAAATGCGGTCCGCATACCCGTTATGCGGTCTCATAGTGCACCGCAGAACTACCCCTCACAAAATCCCAAGGGAAATGCGACAACTGTGCGGTCCGCATATCCATTATGTGATCGCATATTGGACCGCATATTTAACCTCCAATTCGACTAACACACTGACTCACTTTGCGGCGATTATGCGGTCTGCATACCTGATATGCGACCGCATTCTCGACCGCAGAATCGCATTTTCTGGAAAATAGTATTTCTTGACTTTTTATAACATAGATCAGTACCAAAAGGGTCTGAACCGCGGCTCGCTTAATTTTACACATTCCTAACATATATTCGGGACTTGTCACCACGAGCTACCTGATTTTGAGTACAAGTTTTCAGAGGGGCGTACATTAGGTTACCCCATATATTGCAAAGAAATTTGGGATAGAACCAGAAAAGTTGTGTGAACCCTTTGAAGTGTCCACTCTAGTTGGAGAATCAGTTATAGCAAGGTGTATCTATAGGGGATGTCCAGTCAAAGTGCATCATCGTCTTACTATATTAGGCAGAATTGGAGATGTTAGACTTCGATGTGATCATGGGCATGGATTGGTTAGAGTCATGTTATGCCACAGTGGGTTGTAGAACCAAAATAGTAAGTTTTGAATTTCCCGGTGAACCAGTCTTAGAATGGAAGGGTGATGCAGTAACATCTAGGGGTAGGTTTATTTCCCATCTTAAAGCTAGAAAGATGATCTCCAAGGGATATATCTATCACCTGGTTCGAGTTAAGGATGCATATGCTTAGATCCCCACTCTCCAGTCGGTACCAATTGTAAATGAGTTTCTAGGCGTGTTTCCCAAAGATCTCCCTAGAATTCCTCCTGATAGAGAGATTGACTTTGGAATTGATCTACTTCCAGGCACTAAGCCAATATCTATTCCGCCTTACAGAATGGCTCCAGCAGAGTTGAAATAGTTAAAAGTCCAGTTGAAAGACCTTCTAGATAAGGGATTTATAAGGCCAAGTGTTTCACCTTGGGGCGTGCTGGTCTTGTTTGTTTGAAAGAAGGATGGGTCTTTGCGTCTGTGCATTGACTATCATCAGTTGAATAAAGTCACCATCAAGAACAAGTACCCTCTTCCCAGAATAGATGATTTATTTGATCAACTTCAGGGTGGCCACTGTTATTCCAAGATTGACCTCAGATCGGGATACCATCAGTTGAAGGTTAAGGAAGTTGATATTCCAAAAACAGCTTTTAGGAGTCGATATGGGCATTTCGAATTTTTGGTAATGTATTTGGTTTAACGAATGCACCAGCAGCTTTCATGGACCTTATTAATAGGGTCTTCAAGCCTTATCTTGATTTGTTTGTTATGGTGTTTATTGATGACATCTTGATTTATTCCCGTAGCGAGGCTGACCAAGCCGAAGAAACTTCTTATATCGGATACTGAGGTGGGTCTAGATTTATTCCCTTTGACTAGATTAACTCAGAAGAAAGCCATGTTTCAATGGCCAGACGTGTGCAAGAAAATTTTTGAGGAGTTAAAGAAGATATTGACTTCAGCTTCAGTCCTGACACTACCGGAAGGAACTGAAGGGTTCGTTGTTTATTGTGATGCTTCAGGGGTTGGTCTTGGGTGTGTATTAATGTAGCACTGTAAAGTCATAGCCTACATGTTGAGACAACTCAAGGCTCATGAGAAGAATCATCCGACTCATGACCTTGAATTAGCAGTTGTGGTGTTTGTGCTTATGATCTAGTGCCATTATTTGTATGGGGTACATGTTGACATTTTTACAGATCACAAGAGTCTCCAGTATATCTTCAAGCAAAGAGAATTAAATCTACATCAGAGAAGGTGGCTCAAATTACTTAAAGATTATGATGTTGATATCCTCTATCATCCAAGGAAAGCAAATGTTGTAGCCGATGCTCTCAATCGGCGTTCTATGGGCAACTTAGCTCATGTTGAGGAAGACAAGCGAACTATGATGAAGGAAGTCCACCGCTTAGCAAATCTAGGAGTTCGACTTTTGGACTCCGAAGATGGTGGCGTTGTTCTCCAGAATAGTGCTGAATCCTCCTTAGTAGTCGAAGTAAAAGAAAAACAGTTCAGTGATCCCTACTTATTGCAGCTGAATGAAGGAATTCAAAAACACAAGACTATGGATTTTGAACAAGGGGGAGATGATGGTACTTTGAGATATAGAGGCAGACTATACGTTCCAGACGTAGATGGGCTCAAAGAGAGGGTTATGTCAGAAGCCCACAATTCCAGGTATTCTATTCACCCAGGTTCCACAAAGATGTATCATGATCATAAGGAGGTTTATTGGTGGAACGATATGAAAAAGAATATAGTAGATTTCGTGGCTAAGTGTCAAAATTGTCAGCAGGTGAAAGTCAAACACCAGAGACCAGGCGGTTTAACTCAGAATATAGAAATTCCCATTTGGAAATGGGAGATGATAAACATGGACTTCATAACAGGTCTACCTCGCTCGTTTCGGAAGCATGATTAGATTTTGGTGATTGTAGACCGACTTAAAAAATCATCTCACTTCTTGCCAGTGAAGACTACAGATTCAGCCGAGGATTATGCCAAGTTGTATATCAAAGAAATTATCTGATTGCATGGGATTCCTTTGTCCATTATCTTAGATCGTGGTGCTCAGTTCACAGCAAACTTTTGGAAATCCTTTTAGAAGGGATTGGGCACAAGGGTGAACCTCAGCACTGCCTTTCATCCTCAGATAGATGGCCGGACAGAGCACACCATTCAGACTCTTAAGGATATGTTGACGGCATTTGAAGATGGCTCAAAGTCGCCAAAAGTCCTATTCGGACGTGCGGCATAGAGACTTAGAGTTCCAAGTTGATGATTGGGTGTTTCTGAAAGTATCGCCCATGAAAGGCGTTATGAGATTTGGGAAGAAGGGGAAACTTAGTCCCTGCTATATTGGTCCATATAGAATCCTGCGAAGGAACGGACAAGTGGCTTATGAGTTAGAATTTCCACAAGAAATAGCTGTTGTACACCTAGTGTTTCATGTGTCCATGTTGAAGAAATTCATGGGAGACCCGTCACTTGTGGTTCCTACAGAGGTTATAGGGGTTAAAGACAACCTGTCTTATGAAGAAATTCCAGTGGCTATTCTTGATCGTCAAATTCCCAAGCTCAGAACTAAGGAAATTGCTTTAGTAAAAGTGCTTTGGAGGAATCAAAAGGTTGAAGAGGCTACATGGGAAGCCGAGGAGGACATGAAGTCCAGATATCCCCATCTCTTTGAAGAGCAAAAGGAAAATGTGGAAGGTAATTAACCTTTCGATTCAGGTCTTATTTATAATCTCCAGGTCCTTCAGTAATTACTCAGCTTACTATTTATTGATCATGTGCTTGTTCAGTTTGATATACATGTATTCATGATATTTTAGTATTCTCATATCTCCATCACACCCGTTTAATGTCCATAGATAGCCGTAGTTGCAGCCAGGACCATCATTCGAGGACGAATGATTCCAAGGAGGAGATAATGTAACACCCCGTAAAAATTCGGCTTAGGTATGAATAAGTTAAAGGAGTAGTATGGATATATTTTGAACATGTGAAGTCCCATCGAGATGATTATGGGTGAAAATAGTTATTTCAAAATCAAGATGGAAAGTGAGGTGCATAAGATTTGACAAAATCGACTAAGTTTGTAGAAGGTTCGTATTCCATCAAGTTTTAGTGAAAATGTGTAAGTAACTTGGGAACACTCAAAGCCTTAAAGTTTTAGGCCTTTGAAATAGCTTTCCAACGATATATTGTGGAGCCAAAACGGAGCTCTTTGCAAAACGTTATGCCCGTTCTACAGAGAGGTGTGCAACTACCACGATCCTGCCGCGTTTTACCGCGGCCGCGGTGGTGAGGCAGTGTCTCAGCGATTTACCATGGTCGAACCAACCGGGACGTGGTGGACGACTTGGGAAGTTGTTTTTAGCCCTATTTCATCCCCCATAGCTCCAAAACATGAAAAACTTGCTCTAGAAAGTAAAGCTCTCAAAAACCTTACTCCTTAAGGGTCCCTCCACCACCCAAGGTAAGTTCTAATGGTGATTCTAACTTAATTTCGATTTCCCAAGATCTTATTAACATGGGTAAACCCTCCATATCATTAGATATTATTTTGGGACATCATTGTTGAGAGAAGTAAGCCTAGAACTCGAATTCAAAGGGTTTGAACTTCAAAAAGGTAATGTCTTCACCCTCTAACTGATTCTAGCATTGGTTTAATGATTATAAAGCCTAGTTCATGAGATATGAGTTGATGGGTTTGATATAAAAGCATGAACAATTATAGGGTTGGGGCGTTGAGTGTTAATTATTGGTTATGGGTGTTGTTTACATTATGGGTGATGAAGAATAATGTTGATATAATCATTTAAGACTTTAGAATTTATCTAGGAACAAGAGAATTGGTTGTTGAGTGTAGAGACATCATTAATAAGGACTATGAAGCTTTATTTTCACCAAGTGTTTGATAAAATGCTTAAGTGACCAAAACAAACATCATAGCTAATATGGAATCCCTTTGACTTGTATTGCGATAGATTAATGTTGAAAGGGCTGACAAACATTGTATTGCACTCAAGGGCAGGAAGTTAAGGTATGTAAGGCTAACTCTTTACGTTTGGGAATGACTATGATTCTCCCTACGTCCCATTCATTATGACCATTACCAGTTTCCTCAGAAAGTACCTATGCCTTAGTTCCCTGAATAGTAATAGAACTTCTATTGTTTAGATGGCATAGTCTCATAATCATTTGATATTCTATGAGTTTCAGTTATGACAAATCAACTTATTATGAATACTCATCTCAGTCTAATCCTATTCACTATTCCAGTATCATGTAACTTGGTATGGCTCATTATTTCAGTATCATGTATTGTAATATGATTCTCAGTTCCTGATTTTATATTCTTGAATGTTGAACACCTCTATTTGGGCATGAGGTCGCAGTTCATGCTTTATGCATCTTTGGGCCTGAGGCCGCAGTTATGTATACGTATACTTGGGCCCGAGGCTGTAGTTGTGCATATATATATATTGGGCCTGAGGCCGCAGTTTAATATTCAGTTAAACAGGTTGTTCATCATTCAGAATAGAGAGTATTCACATCCTTACTTCCTTGTTCAGTTATTAGTTTATCAGCTAGCAGTTCAGTTTCAGTATCAGTATTTACAATTCTTTTGTTCAACTATTTTACATACCAGTACAATTCAAATGTATTGACGTCCCTTTTGCCTGGGGCCTGCATCTCACAATGTAGGTAACGATTTTCAGGTTGACGATTCTGCTTGCTAGGACGTCTCGTATCAGCTATTGGTGAGCACCAGTCTTTTGGGGCCTTATCTCTCTTTTGTTTTAGTCATTATAGTATTTTAGTTAATAAGGTATACCGGGGACCTTGTCCCGATAAACAGTTAGCATTTTCACAATTCTTTAGAGGCTTCGTAGTCTATAACCCAGTCAGTTAGATATTAGCAGGCTTTCATGTGTTAGCCTTGTCGGCTACTTGTTTATACTTGCGAACCTTTCAGTATTTTCTGCATCTATGGTATTTCAGTCATACTCTTTAGTAGATTATCATATTTTATATTTACCTCTAGCTCATAGTTATACCACATGTTGATCCAGCCATGCAGTTGGGTCGCTCGGTCAGAAGCAGTCAGGCACCGAGTGTCGTGTTTCGCCTAGACCATGGTTCAGGGCATTACAAAATCACAAGAACTCAAAACAAACATGAGAATCAATAAGTCATGCTAATACACAGAAATCAAACGAAGAACCCTAAAAATTAGGGTTTTTGACATAGGCTAGTTAGAGTCAAGGAAGAACTCAACAAAATCAGTCAAAACACATAGACATAGGGGATTAAGCACGTAAAACCAGAAAGCATTTCGAAGAAAAGGATTTTCAGAAACCCTAGTTTAGGAAGATTACAAGCCACTCGAAAATCTGGAGATTTTCCATAAAAACAAGCAAAAATAAGTTTGATCCTTCTCAGATCTGTACAGATCTAAGAAGTTTAAGAGATGAGATTAGGGTTTTCAACAGAATAACTCAAATAGAGGAGAAAGCATAAACAAACATTTTAAACAAATCGACTCGTAGATTAATACAAAAAACAGAAGAAAGAAGCATTTTTAAAGAACCCTGGTTCAAAGATGAAGAGTTACTTTAGAAAAATCAGAAAAACCTTCGAGGAAAACAACAAAAGCTCATAATATGCACAGATCTAAGACATATATAAAAGAAATTGCAAAATCTTAAGAGTTAGGGTTTTAGAGAATCTAGAGAAGATGAGAAAATCTTAAAGTGTTACCGGTTTTAGCCGGAAAAGTCATAGATCTTACTTGAACGGCCTGAGGTAGCCGAAAAATGGCATGAAGGACCATGGGTAGGAGTTGAACCACTCCAGGTTCACATGAGGACCTTAGGGTAGTGTCAAACCGGCTTGGGGTGAAGCAGAGGTCAGGAGATGATGAGAGGCCATGGTTTTCGGCGAGGGAGGTGGCCGGAGAAGGTAGACAGGGTCCATCGGAGGGGAGGGGAGAGAAGAAAGTTCTAGAGAGAACCAGAGATAGAGAGAGGGAGATAGATAGATCAGTTGAGAAAGAATGAGAGGTGGGAGGAATGAGAGATGGGGGTAGTCATTAGGGTTTAATATGGTGTGGGGGGTCTGGACCGTTGATTAGAATTGATCAACGGTCCAGATTGGACCAGGGATTGGGTCGGGGTATGGTTTAGTTTGGGCTTGGGTCTGGTGGGTTATTTAGTTGGGTTGGGATCTGATTCAATTAGGCTACAATTGAAAAATTGAATTGGCTATTTGTTAAATACCCAATTAAAATTGGATAAATAATTAATAAAAATAGCTAATAATTGGATAAAATGAAATTAAAGCTAAATAGGTGAAATTAAGGTAATTAACTAATATTGAAATATAAAATAACCGATTATTGAATTTAAAATAGCATAAAGTGTACAATTAGGCTATAACTGCAAAATTATTGTAATTATAGCCAAACAATGCCAAATTGTCAAATTTGTGAAATAATTAAATTCTAATAGGATAAAGAATGATATATTGCGCTAAGAAATACTTTAAAATTATTTGTAATGTAATTTATGAATAATTATTGGATATAAAGTACTGAATGAATTAGAAAATAAATTGATAATAATATGGAAAGTTATGGAAAAATACCAATTATTAAAAAAAAGTGATTTTGAAGGCATATATACAAATTTAAAAATAGTTTGAGGAAAAATTAGGTATCAACAGTTTTCAAGTGTGACCAATGTATGAATATGCTATGCTTTAAAATCATGTTGCAATTGCAAGTTTATTATGACTAATTTTGGAAGAGAAATTCGATGTGTTTAAGACTCATATTGCTCATACACGTAACTAATGTCATCATTTAAAATGATCCTATTGTTGATAATCTATGATGATTTTTGAAAGTGAAAGGAGTGAGTTTGAGATATGAATTGTGGCCATCGTGCCAAGAATGAAAATTACACTTGTGGTCAATAGTGCCAATCAAATGAAAGGATGTGTGAAAGATTAAGAAATGAGTTTTTATTGCTTTATTTAATAAAAGTTTTAGGAGTATCATTAGTCACCGAGGAAGAGTAGGGTGGAACAACCTAACCCCAAAACTACACGTGCCGATATAAGAGTGATTGAGGGATAAATTCCCGTACTAATGTGCTGAGATTATTCCCCTTAATTGGGAC